ATTTTTTTTTTTTTTTTTTTTTTTTTTTTTTTTTATAGGTATTATGTATTTATAGCAGATCCTTGTTTATACCCTGATTATTCACATAGATGGATAAAAAAAAAGTGGCAAAATGGACAAAAATATTATTTAATGGATAATGCAACAGTAGCAGATTTAAAGGCTGAGGTGTATAGACACCAGAAACCTATTGAATTAAGAAAAAAAGAAGAAGAAAAAAAAATAGCTACAGCAACATCTGCTGCAGCAGCAGCAACAACTGCTGCTGCTGCTTCTAGTACTAGTAGTAGTAGTAGTAATAATAATAGTACTCATCCTCCTCCTCCTCCTGCTGCTGCTGCTGGTGTTGCTGGTAATAAGAAGGAAGAGGAACCTGTACTACTAGAGTATCAAGATATAAATAAATTATTAGTTGGATGTAGGGGAAGAATGTTTAAGGATACAGATATATTAGCATTAGCTGTTAGATCTTTTTGTAAAAGAGATCCTAATATACTTATCTGGAAGGATTAATTCTATTCACCAGCAGCAGCAGCAGCAGCAGCAACAGCAGCAGCAGCAGCAACAGCAGCAGCAGCAGCAGCTGTTGTTGTTGTTGTTGTTGTTGTTGTTGTTGTTGTTGATGATGATGATGATGATAATGGAGATATAGCAGCAGTGCATGCATAGAGGAAATATAATGTTTGTGTATAGGAAAGAAAAGAGACAAGAGAGAGGAAAAAAAGAGGCAAATAAATATATAATATATAATATATATATACATATTATATATTATTATTTATATTATATATATAAAGAAGAAGTGTCTCTTGTTGTCTGTATCTAGAGGAGACAAATAACTGTCTCCTTCTTCCTCAAGAATAGTCTCTCCTATAGGGCAGCGAACAGGCGGATAGTGGCTAAGAGCCATATAAGAGCAGCAGCAGCAACAGCAGCAGCAGCAACAGCAGCAGCAGCAGCAGGCATGTGTAAAGCGTCTGTATATGGCAGCTTTCTGCTGGCACAGCGATAGCTCTGTTTGCTGCTGTTTGCGGGTATAATTAGGGTTTAGGGTTTAGAGGTTTTGTCTTAGATTGCAATCTGTAAACCCTAAACCCTAAACCCTAAACCCTAATACCGTCTATATAAGACTCCATTTGTTTACAGTCTTGTTTTAATAACTTAATTATAATATTATGCCCTATAAAAGTAAATATACTTTTCTTTATAAGATAATTCTCTTATAATAGCTAATAAAATAAATTAATAATAAATATTAATAGTGTATATTCTTCTTACTTAGTAATCCCGATATATACATACACGTTACATACAGCTATCTGGCCAGCTAGCTAGCTAGCTAGCTAATTAGTTAGTTAGCTAGCTACCTAGTTGGCTTAGGTTCCCTCTTAGTGTCTATCTAGTTGTCTTCTTAGTTTCCTATAGAGTAGATAAATACCCAAGGAGTCTATACCTAGTATTCAGAGGAAAAAGGGTAGGTAGCTAAAAAGGAGAGGGGATTAGGGGAAAAAGGTATTAAAAGGGAGAGGGGAGAGGGGGAGACATTATATATCATTAATTAATATTAGCAATAGTTATTATTTATTAAGGAAGATATGCATGCGGAGGCAATTTTGTCGTTAGTTTTCTTTTTTTTATTTAGGGGAGCAGATCTTTGGCTATATTGACGTTAAATAGAGTATAAAAGGCGAGCAAAAATATAAAAAGATTTATATTTAAATAAAAATAAATTAATTTTTACAATTAAGAAGAAAAGTCAATGAAAAAGATGAATAGGTCTTCCTGCACTATATAAGCGCAATTCAGCTTTCTTGCAAAGAGGAGAAAAGAGAAGAAAGCAGAGGAAAGCAGAAGAAAGCGAAGGAAAATAAATGAAATAAATGTTTATTTATTGTTTTCCTTCATAAATAAAAGAAGAAAGCAATGAATAAAAAGGAAAAAGTACCTATTCAGTGCCTTTTTTCTGAATGTTGAATATGTATTATATGCTGATCGTATGATAATGGAGCTGCCTATACACCCCGTGTCTTCTGCTTACCTACTTGCATAAATGCAACTTTTTTTCATCATTTTAATTCTTTTTGTTTATTTTAATTTGAATATAAAAGAAGAATATCTTTTATAATAGTGAATACTACGACCGCCTTCTATCTAAGTATCGATCGATTGTATTGTATAGCTAGCCGCATCTGTTTCCAAGTCTTTTTCCTTTATTTCTTCTTTTTATACATTTAAGAAATGTATTATTCATGAATAAATAGAAAATAAAAAGAAGAAGAAATAAATAAGAAAGAAAGCGGCAACTTTATACAAGAAACATGAATGCATGTGTGTCGCACATCATGACACGCACGCACGGACAACTTGAATAGGTAACCAGTTATTGAACATGAAGAATTCTAACGGAAAGCAGACACATAAACAACATTTAATGAATAATTAAATTAAATAAATTAATTTATTTTATTTTATTCATAAATTTATTCATTTATAAGTTGAATATATGAAGAATCACTAGCCTGTGGGGTAAGAAGCAGAAGGCGCAATGGTGCTCCTTAGGGATTTCAATACTATGTAAGTTGGTGTCCTGTGGTTATATTTAACCTTTCTGTTTATTTTTTATTAAATATAATTAAATTAGACTCATTAAATATATTTAAACAGGAAAAAGAATTGGATTAAATGGCAAAGAGGCAACAATTATACATCAGGAAGCGGATCTGCAAGCTGCTGCCACTGGCTTAAGCCAGCAGCAGCAGTCCCCTGACCCACGAGTAATGCTGCTGCTGCTGTTTGTTTACCTATTTTCTTTTCTCCTTCTCTCCCTTTGTTCTTCTCCTTATAAGGGATCTACTTTTAATTTATTTTAGGAGGTGCAGCTGCTGCTGCTGCTGCCGTTGCTGCTGCTGTGTTGTGCTTTTGCGGGTTCAATTGCTGTACCAGCAGACCCTACAGGTGAGTAGCAGCAACAGCAACAGCAACATTTAACAGCAGCAGCAGCAACACCAGCAGCAGCAACACCAGCAGCAGAGCAATGAATACAGAGGAAGTAACTCCCTTATAAAATATATCTTTTTGTCGTCATGCACAGGGGCGGCACTCATTATATTACCCCTTTTCTTTTATATCTTCCTCCTTATAATTATTTATTAAAGAAAGGCAATTAAACACATTAGTTCTCTTCTCCTTCTTTAGTAATAATAGCCAGCAGCAGCAAACATTATGTTGGTACCCGTCTCTGTTGGGGGGCCCCCCAGCAATACAGCGCTGGGGGGCCCCCCTCATTACCCTTCAGGTATATCCTTCTTAAGGGCCTCGCTGCGGCCCCATGGACGCGTCGCCTTGGCTGTCATCATAGGATGCATAGCAGTTTTTCAAGGTGCAGCAGCAGCAGCAGCAGTAGCACCTGCTGCTGCACCTGCTGCTGCTTCTGCTGCAGCAGCGGCACCAAAAACAGCAGCAGCAGCAGAGACAGAGTCTCTTATTCCTGGCTTTAGGCCACTCTCTTCGCGAGATGCCCCTGTGGGGCCCCACGCCCATTCAGGTGTGCAGACACCCCAGCAGCTGCTGCAGCAAGTGCAGCAGCAAGCAGCAGATAAAGCAACAGAATACCTGCAGCTGGCAGCTCAGGTACCCGTTGCGTTGCATGCACAAGATCCAGCAGCATCAGCAACAGCAGGAACAGCAGCTGCAACAGCAGCACCTGCTGCAGCGACAGCACCAGCACTAGCAGCAGCAGCAACAGAAGCAGCATCTGCAACAGCTGCTGCAGCACCAACATTGGTGACAGCACTCAACAGCAGCGGCGTTGGGTCTCCAGCAGCTGCTGCTTCGGGTGTGCCTGATGCAGCAGCAGCTGCTGCTGCTCCAGGTGTAATTCCCACTGCAGCAGCAGCACCTGCAGCAGCACTATCTGCAGCAGCAATACCCGCAGCAGCAATACCTGCAGCAGCACTACCTGCAGAAACAGTCCCAGGTGCAACAGTCCCAGCAGCAACAGTGCCAGTAGTGCCAGTAGCAGCAGTAGCACCAGCTGCAGCAGCACCAGCAGTGCCAGCAGCACCACCAGCAGCAGAACCAGCATCACCTGTACCAACAGCAGCAGTACCAGCAGCAGCACCACCACTTATATCAGTACCAGCAGCAGCAGCAGCACCAGCGGTACAAGTACCAGCAGCAGCAGAACCTGTACAAGCAGCAACAGCACCAGTACAAACATCTGCAGCACCAGTACCAGCAGCAACAGCACCAGTACCAGCAGCAGCAGCAGCAGTACCAGCAGCAGCAGCAGCAGTACCAGAAGCCGCACCAGCAGCAGCAGCAGCACCAGCAGCAGCAGCAACACCAGCAGCAGCACCGGCAGCAGCAGGTGATTCTGTGCTGTCTCCTTCTGTAGATGAAGGTGCAGGAGGTGTGGGGCGTCAGAAGCTGCTCGTGCTGCTAGGGTCATCATCAGCAGCAAGAGGCAGCAGCGAGCAGCAGCAGCAGCAGCAGCAGCAGCAGCAAGCAAAAGATAAGGGATTAGCAGATACACCTCTAGGTGCACCTCTTATTAATCCAACAAACGAAGAAGGAGCTCCTACTGCTGCAGCTATGGATGGGGGCACCCTTGTAGGGGGGCCCCTCACAGCTGCTGCTGCTGCAGGGGGCCCCGCTGCTGCTGTAGCTGGGGGCCCCACAGATGCTGAGGAGGAGGAGACAATTGAGGACGACGAAGGAAACATATTAATTCCTCCAGTAAGCTTTGCATTATATGCAGCAGCAGCAGCACCAGCACCAGCAATGGCAGGAGCAGCAGCAGGCACCTGAGGAGACACACAAGAGGGAGGCACGGCAAGAGACAGACGCACCCACAGCAGCAGGAGCAGCAGCAGCAGCAGCAGCAGGAGCAGCAGCAGCAGCAGCACAGATACACCAAAAGAGGCAGAAAGAGACACAGAGACAGGCAAACATAAAACAAACACATAAATATACAGAAAGAAAGATAATAAAAAAGAATAAAAAAGAATAAAAAGAATAATATATTAATTAATTAATTAATTAATTAATTTATTTATTTATTTATTTATGTGTATACAGGATCTGCATTCATGTTTTAATAGATGTGGTTGTACACCCGTCATTGTTATTTCTTCTGTTGTATTCGCCATCTCCTCTTTTAGTGTATTTGTTGCCTCTGTACTCATGGGGTCTCTATTCTCTAAGGTAAGAAGGGTTTAGGGTTTAGGGTTTAGGGTTCAGGGTTCAAGGTTTAGGGAATATGGGAACTTAGCTGGGGTTAACTCACCGCTCTAGGGTTTAGGGTTTAGGCTTTTGGTGTTTAGGGTTTAGGGTTTAGAGTGTTTGCTTATTTAGGGTTTTGCCTCCTCCTCCTTTTTCCAAGGAGGTGGATACGCCATCCTTATTGCCTCATCTGTTGGTGGGTTAAAAGTTTTCAACCCCTAAACCCTAAACCCTAAACCCTAAACCCTAAACCCTAAATTGTCCTTAGTTGGTATATGGCGGTATCCATGCATACATGAATATACACATATAAATAAATACGTATAAATATACATAAAAGCATTTATATAAATATTATCTATAACCTTCTCTGCCTCTTGCTGCTGCTGCTGCTGCTGTTGCTGTTGCTGCTGTTGCTGCTGTTGCTGTGTTGCAGGCCTGTTAGTGGGTAGTGTAAGTGGAGGATTAATAGGTCATTGTTGGCCAGCAGCATTAAGTTTAGGGGGAGGACTTTTATCTTTTTCTTGTGGCGTCGTCTTACTAGGAAGAAGAGGAGCATGGCTAGGGGCTATAGGAGGAATTATTACTGGAGGATCTATTGCTGGACTTATTAAACCTACATTATTATTTATTAGTTGTATGCTATATACACACTCTCAAGGGTTTAGGGTTTACGAGGGTTTACGAGGGTTTATGAGGGTTTACGAGGGTTTAGGGTTTTGGGGGTTTTATAGTTTGCAAAAAAATATATTTACGTAATAAATAAAATAAACAAAATAAACAGAAAAAGCAGTAAATAAAATAAATAAAATAATTAAAATAAATTAATAAATATTTATTTATTTATTTATTTATTTATTTGTGTGTCTGTTTGCTGCAGTGGGCTGCTTAATTGGTTTATTATTGGGTATAGTGTTAGGGTTTGCGCCTGTATTTAGAGAATTAAAAATGAATAATAGATATATAAGAAGGGGACTACATAGGTAAATAAATAAATAAATAAATAAATAAATAAATAAATAAATAAATAAAATAAATAAATATATTAATTAATTAGTTAATTAAATACATTAATGTAATTGAATCTTTTATTTATTATATTTAATAATACAAGAGATAAAAGGGGAGAAAAAAAGAGACAATAAATAATAAACAAAAAAAAAGAGACAAAAGGAGACAATAACCAATTAATTTCTTTTTATAGATGTGTGCAGACACTGCAGCATATCCCTGCTGCTACTGCTGTTGCTGCTACTGCTGTTGCTGCTACTGTTATTGTGTGTGTGTGCTGCTGCAGCGCGGAGAGCAGCAACTCGATGCGAGTATCTCGTCCTCCAGAGCTTGCTGCTAGTCAGCGAAGTATGAAGACAGCAGCAGCAGCAGCAGCAGCAGCAGCAAATCTGTCTCCTGTATTAAAGTTGCGTAGCTCAGCTAGTCGCTCCCTAGACACCCGAGCAGGCAGCAGCGGGATCCGATCCCCATACCCCACACCTCAGGAAGAACAAAATAATATTGCTGCTGCTGCTCCTTCTCCTTCGCCTGCTGCTGTCATCCCACCAGCAGCAGCAGCAGCAGCACCAACAGCAGCAGCAAATCCTCTGCTATACTCCTTTACTAGCGGCAACAGACAACCTACTAATCAATAAATGCTTAACAGTAGCAAGAGCACCAGCAGCAGCAGCAGCAGCAGGTGTAGCAACAGGTACAGCAGCAGCAACTGTCGCAACAGGAACTGCAGCAAAAGCAGCAGCAGCAGCAGCAGCAGCAGCTTATAGAGGCTCTTGTTGAGGTGTACGTACACCGCAGGTAGAAATACAAATTTTATTTTGGCGCAGCGAAATTTATTTTGAAGAAATCAATTGTGGGAAGACAGCAGCAGCAGCAGCTGCAGCAGCAGCAGCTGCAGCAGCAGCAGCAGCTGCTACTGCTTTTCCTGCTGCAGCAGCCACAGCAGCAGCTGCTGCTGCTGCTGTATGTTGCAGGGCACAGAATTTATTTCAACAACTGCCTATGCATTTATTTATTTTAATACTATTTATTATTTATTATTTATTTATTATTTATTTATTATTTATTAATTTATTATTAATTTATTATTTATTTATTATTTATTTATGTATTTATTATTTATTATTTATTTATTATTTACTTATTACTTATCTATTATTTATTATTTGTTTAGGTACAGAGAAGCAGAGACAGAGACAAAGTGTATATGTACATATAATATGCACAATTAGATAATAAATAATAAATATAAATAAATAAATATAAATAAATAAATAAATAAATAAAATAAATAAAGTTAAATAAAATATATTTGTCTCTTTTCCTTTATAGCCATTAAGCTACAAAGAAAGAAGGGTTTATTGTCTCCTTTTATTGTCTCCTTTTATTGTCTCCAACCCTAAACCCTAAACCCTAAACCCTAAACCCTAAACCCTAAACCCTAGACCTGCAAGGAGATAGCGAGTTCTTCTTGTATATTATTAAGAGCAACAAGACAACTCTCTGCTACTATCTTGTCTTTATTAAGACAATGGTGTCTCCTGTATAATTAATAAAAAAAAAAAAAAAAAAAAAAAAAAAAAAAAAAA